CCATTTCAATCCCCAACCCTTCATAGAAGGTGAGTCTCGCATTATTTCCACGTTTTTTTTCTCTCTGCAGTTCAGAAATTCAGAACCTCATTGTCATGAAATATTTGAGGGTGTTTACTGGGAGTTTTACTGGGAGTTCTACAAACGGGAGTTATCCTACCAGGAGCACTATTCTTCCCAGGAGTCATTGCTCTACCAGGATCTGTTAATTCTACAAGGCCGTCTGTGGCTGCAAACTTTGTACTGATTTCACTTCCTTTTTCCAGAAAATGTGATTTTTCTAGGCCCTTCTCAACAGTTTGTACTCTGCTTTCAGCAAAACCGTTGCTTTGTGGATAGTAAGTTGAATTCCATTTGCTTGACAGAAAGAATTAAATGTAGCTGAATTAAAGGGTGGACCATTATCGGACACAATTTCAACCGGTAAACCAAATATCGAAAATATTTCCTTCAATTTTACAATAGTTTCTTTTGCATCTGTCCCATGATTCATTCATTAACATAAATCCATTTAGATCTATTTTCAACAACAATCAGAAAACTGTGATTATATTTATAAAAAAATGCATATTCACTCTGTAAAAATTATTTGGAGCATTAAGCCAAGGTAGTAACGTACCTATTTGAAAAATTATGTGTTAGCTGGCATATTTCACATGAACCAATATATTTTTCAATAGCCTCATTCAAACCAGGCCACCAGCAATATACTCTGATAAGTATTTTTGTCCTAACAATACCTAAGTGTTGTTCATGGAAAATGTTTAAAATATTATTTTGCAATAATTTAGGTATAACAACTAATTAACAACCATTTTCTACAGAAAGTTCATTTATTTTCGGGAAATATGGTTTTAAATCATTATTATTCATTGAACTTGGCCATCCAGAAAATGTAAAGTACATGGCTTTCAACAATATAACATCTGTTTCGATAGCTTCAGCTAACTTACCCGCATGTAGTGGTATGTTATAAACCATACTAAATAAATACAAGGAATCTGGTATTTCAGTTTCACTATGCATTGGTACTCGTGATAATCCAGCAGCGTTAGCAATAAACTTTCCTTTCTGATATTGGATTTTGTAATCTTAGGCAGACATTGTGATGGCCCATCCATTTCACCAAATATAAATTGTAAGGGTTGGTGATCAGAGATTAAAGTAAATTTTCTACCATAAATATACTTATGAGATTTTCTCACGGCAAAAATGCTTTCAAGTTCTATATTTGAATACTGTCTTTCTACCGGGGACAGTACCCCAGAAGCGAACATGACAGGTTCGCCATCATTTCCTATTTTATGAGTCAGTATCGATCCTACCCCATATTCACTGGAATCACATTTTATGAAAATGGGAACACTGGGATCATAATGAGTGAGTACATTATTAGTAGTAACTAGTTACTTACTCAACTGGAAAGTACGCTCACAATCATCTGGCCATATGAGTTCTGTTGCTGATTTGCTTATAAAGGTTTTAGCTTGGATGAAAATGTGATTGAATTTTCCATAATAGTTCAATAACCCGATATGATTCCAACTGAGTTAAATTTCGAGGTGCTGGTGCTGTCTCAATGCATTCAATTTTTTCTTTGGTTGGGTGGGTCCCATTTGAATCTATGATGTGACCAAGAAATTCAACGTTTTTCTCATAGATTTTGACATAAAATTGTTTTAAACGAATTATCACCACTACTACACTATTGTGACATTTCTTTAAACTGGAGCTATATATTGATGTCATGAATCATCATCAGACAAAATGGTTTCCATGGTAGACTGGAAAACACCAGGTGCTATGTTAATCTATCATATCTGAATAATCCTATTTGGGTATTTATTGTGAACACCCCTTCAGAAGTAGCACTTATTTCAAGTTTTTGATAGGCACCTTCAAGATCTATGAAGAATTTACTGCCCCTCAAGCTGCCATAGTTATCTTCAGGTAAATGTTGATATTCTTATATCTGTTGAATTTTTCTTCGGTACAACAACAATTGGCTGACCCACTTGCGATAAGTAACTTTAATTAAAATACCGGACTCTACCATCTTAGACAGTTCAATTTCAAATTTGGGCTTCAATGAGTATGCTACTTCGTAAGCTCTATGAAAAACTGATTTAGAATCACCATTCAATTACAGGTCAACTTTGAATTGTTTTATACGTGAATTTGACACAAGGAAAATGTCAGCAGAGAAACATTTATTCAGGATCAGGATAAGAGACTCTCCAAGATGCGACTGTGGTAAAACCACAAACCTTCAACATATTTTATTGGAATGTCCCAACCACACTTTGAACTCAAACATACTTTACAAAAAAATGATATCAAGACACAATATCCCAATCCTTACTGCCTTGTCAGAAGACAACCTGCTTAAGAATCCCACTGCTTATACTGCTTTGAGCATTCACACGTACCTAAAATCAATTAACTTGAAACTTAAATCATCTATGTTACATGTAATCTCAGGGAGGAAGCTATGATCATAGGATCAGACGCATTCACGTGCAGCTCCAGCCCTTAGGAAGCGGACAAAACAGAGAAGAACCTGGGTAAATAACCGAAAAGGCCCATATCAAAGAAGGAAGGAAGGTGCCCCACTTTTCAAGTCCTCAGTTGCGCATGACCGCGTTTGAATATGTGAAGTTTCAAATCAAAACAATAATTAACTGGCAATAATATATCCTGACATGAAATAAATGTTAATTTCATGATATTCCTTCTTTTCCGATGGTCTAGATATTTCTCTTGATATTATGGACACATTGTCACTACTCTGGTGAGGTAGAAATACCATGTACAGGGTGTTCGCGGGAATATTTTCCGCCTATAATTTTGGTTTGTGTGATTGATGTGTGTGGGAGTAAGGGGAGTATACATAAAAAATGGTGATCTTCCGGTGAGATGTGGCAAGGACAGCGCCCTTCGATCTTGATAGGCACCATTTTGTCTGCAGCGGTCTTCCAACTCGGTCACAAAAGGAAGCCATAAGATCTGTTTCTTGAATAATTTCGAATTTGTGTAATACTCGATTTTTCATAACTTGGTGTTGGGATTGATTAAGGAAAGATCTCCAATTTGGGATATTCATCGCGGGAATGGAAATTATGTTGCCTCTAGAGAGGAATTATGTGTACCATCAAATCTCCTTGAACCCGCACACCATCAAAAGTATTATTTTCTCTATATTATCAGCTGCTATCTTCTTTTCATTCCTTGTTTTTGGGAAAATAACTCAAAATTGTCGTTCTTCCATGCAGGGTTCCCTGTTGTCGCCTTCGAGATTTGGGCCCCCTTCGCTCGGATCTGGAGCTGATGTATTTGATGTGTCTGCGTTGCTCCAGCTCTTGTTTTTGGGCACCTGTTATTGGAGGAAGGGCAACTCATAGGAGACATCACCTGACGCTGCCTGACTCCACCTGATCAGATATATGTAATATATAGCTACTACGTGATGCTCATAGCTTGGTGACCTGGCCAGGGATAATTATTTATTTTGGAAAAACTACCACCAACCATACTTCATCAATATAAGTTTCATCTAAGATAATATTTGCAAGATGTCTTTGATTTAATATACACTCAATATAGGTACCAAACATACTCTTGGAAAACAGAAGTGCACTGCGGTATAATGGGCCTTATTACTTTACTCTCATTGATACTGATTCACTGAGCTATTTTGTAGTTTAATTTGTATATTTTCGTACTGTCCCAGAGAATTGATTTTGAACAGTTATAGTAGCATAATTTTATGCTGATCTGAAGAGTTGATTTCAGACAGTTATATTTAGTATTGATCTATTTTCAACGTTGATTAAACTTAGTATTTTACTAAGCCTAACATACCCACCCATTTGTCCCGCTGAACTACCAGTACGGTATCAAATTGGGCACTAAAAACACTTTTTCTGTAGTTAACCACTTTCAAGATTTGAAAGAACAAGTAAATCTCAGACGATCATCAGTCAAACTCAGGGGAACATTTTTTTTTATCCAAAAAATTGTTCATATTCCATCCCCTGAGGATTGAAAACATTACACGTTCTTGACTTGACCAGACTTCAGACAGACTTGGACTAACTGGAGACTCACAAGATGCAGACTTACTCTTTCATAACAATTCTACACTCATGGCAAAATATTGTGTATTTCATTAATGAAAATACTTTGATAATACTTGTTTAGTTTGTCACTGACAGATTTGGCTAAAGGTTCACACTTAGTTTATTCACTTCACTGAATTTTTTTTTTTTTCAACTGTTTATGTCTTTGTTCACTGTGTTCCCTGTTTTCTCTATTTAATAAATGTCACCATGTCACCTCTTTTGAAACACGACATGAGCTCTTTCCTTGCTACAAACAAGCTATAGTGTGTAGTAGTTAGGTCACCCTCTCGCTGCCAAGCATATCACGTAACAGGGGAGGAAGGCCACGTGATGGACGCAACACATGATGAAGGCGCCACTCTGAGTTCGCGACAATAGTTTACATGCAGTGCGCGAATTATGTATTTCGCGCACTGTTTTATTTCGCGCAAGGTGTCATGGTAACATAGGAAAAAAGTGTCACTTCGCATATTGTTATCAATGCACGAACCATGCAATTTTTTGGTTAAAGATATTTCCATACCCATTTGGCTGTCATAATGACTTTGTTGAAGACGTCTAATAAAAACAAATACCTCCTTGTATTCATGCATTCCATATTTTGAATGATTCAGTAAGATTTTTCAACTACCATACCTGATCTACAATATGTCAAATACCCTTAAGTGAGCAATACCTTGGAACAGAACAACAATTCCTTCATTTCCAGGAATGAAAGGATAACACCCTAATAACCGCCTGTCTTCATTGTCTGGTAAATGCAATCATTAGTGGACATCATGTTTATCAATACAATTTAAATGCCTCGTTCAAATTCGGACGTTTCATTAGTTGGATTTCTATTTGATATCAGCGTGATAATGGTAATGAAGTACTTACATTTCATATTTACTCTGCAATAAGTCCAAAATTTTCGGTAGTAGCAAAACACACAAATCTAGGTTCCATAATGAGCTGAAACAATAGACAAGTGATCTCATGTGCTTCCAAACAGTCAATCTATATACTCACTATTTATTATTAATTACACATAAAATATCAACAAGAATGGCTATATCATCCATAGCCAAGGCAGTTTCAATGGCAGCTTTCATATCTTTACTACGATATTGTGCTAAGACCACTTTCATACTTCTTTGGCGGGTGCTCAGTATACCCATCATTGGTTCATGGCCTCTCATCACTATGCCTAATACTTCTGCTTCTGACATGTCCGGTAGTTGCTGCTGGAGCCCCAGTGTGTTGTGGTTTTTCTGTGGGACGAAAATCTATACTATAGTGTAGTCAATATAATAGCAATTATGAATAGCAATGATCGATTATACAGGGTTACTGGTAATTCGATACATTCTTTGGAGATGTGATAGGGAAGGTGGTAGGAAGTAAATTAAACCCCAATATGCATCATGCAGAAGTTGATAGTTTCTGAGATATTCAATTTTTTCTGTTCATCTTCAAAAGGTAGACTTCCAGGGTTTAAAAGTTAGTGTTTCGAAAATCTTCTGTACATTTTTTCAACCATTCAACTAGAATACATCATCAACAATATGGTTTTATGTTTGGAATGAAAAAATTCCAGAAATAATGTAGATAATAGATAAATTGTAAATACAAAGTCGTATTTTTGTTCAACAATTGTGGATCTCAACACTTTGTAGCGATTATTTTTGAAAAAGTCTCTAAGCCAAATTTGTCAAAAAATTTTTAAAACTTCCTTGAGACACTAGCTATCTAACTGGGTACCAAAAATGAAACTAAAATTGCTTTTCTGCAGTTTTTATTTTCGTTTATTCGCGCGAGGCATCCAAACAGCATAACAAATGTTCATAACCTCCATCATTGGGCCGAAGAAAACCCTCGTTCAACAAGAGGAACTAGTTTTCAACGGAAGATTTCTGTTAATGTGTTGATGGGACTCATTGAGAGTTAATTTAATTTTCTTCCTAGGCAATTTTAACAGGAAAATGTATGAAAATGTCCTACGGCATGATCTACAGGAGCTTCTTGAGGATGTTTCTCTCGCCATCAGAGGGCGGACGATATTCCAGGTCAGATATTAGAAGGTCAGGTCGAATAGGTTAGCCAGCGCGAAGTTAAAGGAACCCCCAGTAAATACCCGGGAAGAACTCATACAAATGATAACCGACGCTGCCCTGTACATACAAAATAATTTAACAACTAGATTAACAAAGACAGAAATAAGAGGACGCTGCCGAGCATGTATTCGTAATAGAAGTCTTATTTTGAACAGGATTTGTAAAAAGTGAATACTAATAGTAGAAGTTTTTCAAGTACGTGTTTACTATTCATTTAAAATAACAAACCCGTATCAAGCACTTTTATTATCATTTGTATCAAGTGTTGAGATCCACAATAATTAAACAAAAATACGACTTTGTATTCACAATTTATCTATTAGCAACATTATTTCTGGATTTTCTTCATTCCAAACATAAAACAATATTGTTGATCATGTATTCTAGTTGGAAGGTTGAAAAAAATATACAGCAGATTTTCGAGAAACTAACTTCTGAACCCTGGAAGTCTACCTTTTGAAGATGAACAGAAATAATCAAATATCTCGAAAACTATCAACTTTTGCATAATCCATTTTAGGGTTAAATTCACTTCCTACCACCTTCCCTGTCACATCACCAAAGGAATGTATTGAATTACCAGTAACCCTGTGTACATCGAAGTAGAACAATCTAATAAGCGGTTCCACATAGTGGAACTGCCGTCTCAAACATATTTCAAACAGATCCTATCATTAACAGGGCGCCCCAGAATGATGTTCCAATATTACAAGAGCTGTTTCTAGTGTCAAAAATATTTAGAAAATTATTGGTTCTAGGATGGTTTGCTAATGTGATATAGGGAGTGGAATTTGAAAATGGTGGAAAGTCCTAATAAGTCTCTCAAAGTTGTCACAAGAAACAGGTAGGAAACTAATAAGTAGGTGAAGTTTCCATGAATATAATGTAATATATGTCCCTTTTCTCAGGCCTTTCTGTAGAAAATTGTCATAAGGCACTGAAGGAAAATCTACAAATGCATCCCTACAAGATTACTGCTGTACAAGAACTTGAACTACCTGATTTTGAAAGAAGGATCCGATTTTGTCATTGGTTTAATGAGCTTTTGACTTATGAAGCCTGGTTCCATTCATCAGGGTACATCAACAGTCAAAATTACCGCACTTGGGCTACAGAAATACAGAAACTCCTCATAATTTCAGAGAGTCAAGTCTACATCCTCGGAAAATTGGAGCTTGGATTGCAATTTTCAGACGAATAATTATAGGGCCAATTGTTTTTTCAAGGACACCGTGAATGCTGAAAGATATAAAAATATTGTGAGAGAATTCCTTCAGCAAGTTCATGATGATGAATTTCGGTTTGGATATTTCCAACAGGATAGAGCTACAGCTCACACAGTCCAATAGACATTCATAAGGCATATGTGTGCTATGTGGGTATTACTCACCAAAATTGAAGAAATGGTAATAAGAGAAAATGCTCACTCATTAATAAAGACATAATATTTTCTATGACGCGAACAATTTGAAGTAGTTGACGGATTTTCAACCAAAGCTGGTGTGCCCCACGGCTCAGTCCTTGGACCCCTACTCTATAAATTACATGTTCTGTTTTTGGAATCTCCCAACTTTACAGGTAGATACTTGGAATTCGCAGATGATACTGTTCTTGCATACACTGTGCCCAAGATAAGAATGAACAGCATGGGGATCTCGGAAACGGTAGGAGATACGAATTCGGTTAAATTAGAGAAAAGTAGCCCATTTATGTGCCTAATGATATGCTATTAACAAAGTTTCAATATTCCGAGCAGTTTCGGAGATATCCGAGAAAAATCGAAATTTGAGAATTTCGTTTTCATTTTCTCTTAGCTTTATTTCCGAAGGAAATGTAAAACAAACAGCACTTTGTCATGGCCGCTTTTTAAGGACTACATGATAACGTAAGCAGATTGTTTCTACGACGTTTCGTCTTTTAGAAAACATCATCAACTTTGAGCCAAAAATAAAGTGTACCCTATATATGACTCAATTTTTCATTGTGCATACAGCAACGTATCACACAATATGATTTCAGAACCATTTCTCGCACAAAATGAAAAGTGATTACTTAACCTGTTTTTTCCTCAATTTCAGATAGTAGGCGCTGGAAAAAATGACAATTTTAATACATGAAGTGAATTGATTAGTCTTATTTATACAAGTATGAGTTTTAACTTACCACTTGCCGGAATTTTTGTGTTGTTGAGTGCAATATTAAAAGTTTAGTTTCTAAATGTAGTTTTAATGTAATAACAAGGAGCTAATATGTATTACTTACAGGAAATGAACAGAAATTTATAACAAGTATTCCAATATCCCGCCGTTATTTTCTAAGCACAAGTACGCCTGTCTCATAGATGAATTTCAAACTTGAGTTAGCATATTCGGAACAATATTGTTGAAGGCTGCAGTAACCAATCTTATCAAATCTTCTTCATTTTGGAAATTATGATTGAAGTACACTTGATTCTTGATATATCACCAAAGGAAAAAGTCTAGTGGGGTTAGGTCGGGGGACCTTGCAGGCCAGGATGTATCACTATGAGTACCCATCCACTGTCCTGGGTAGCGAGGGTTCAAATAATTACAAACAATTCTAACGTTAAGTGCTGGAGCACCATCTTGTTGAAACCAACAGCTGTGAGTAACCGCTGAAGATTGATTTCAAATTGAAAACTGACCGTCTGAATATCGATTTACCAGGTTGTCGCCTCTCTGGATACTTATTACGTTCAGCATCATATTTTTCAATATTCGAAAAGCTACCATTTTCCATTTTTAACACAATCTAGGTAAGTAACGAGATGTAAAAGTAGGAACGGCAATATGTCAAAAATACTACCAAATTACAGTATTATTATGACAACAGAACATTATGTGTAATTTTTTTTGTGATACGTTGCTGTATTCACAATGAAAAATTGAGTCGTATACAGCGTATACTTTGGTTTCGGCCCATATAAAAATACAAAGTTGATGATGACTTCTGAAAGACGAAACGTCGCAGGAAAAAAATCTGCTTACGTTATCATGTAGTCCTTAAAGAGTGGCCATGACAAAGTGCTATTTGTTTTACATTTCCTCCGAAAATGAAGCTAGGAGAAAAGTAGCCATGACAAAGTGCTATTTGTTTCACATTTCCTTCGAAAATAAAGCTAGGAGAAAATAGAATCGAAATTCTCAAATTTCGGTTTTTCTCGGATATCTCCGAAACTGCTCCGAATATTGAAACTTTGTAAATGGTATATCATTAGGCACATAAATGCGCTCCTTTTCTCTTATTTAACCGACTTCGTATCTCCTACCGATTCCGAGATTCCCATGCTGTTCATTTTCATCTTGAACACTGTGTATAAGGGTACAGACTTGAAACTACTTGAAACAATAGTCAATACTGACCTTGAAAGATATCAAAGATTGCTAGCAAAAAATAAACTTCAGATTAATGTAAAAAGAGTAGTTTTTTCATTTTCTCTCAAAAAAACATGGAACTTCAAGACCTAATAGTGGAGATAGGGGGCAAAGAATTAACAAGAGTCCATAATACTGATTATCTGGGACTAATAGTCGATGAAACCCAATGCTGTAATAACCATATCAACCATATAGAAAAAAAGTAATTCACTCCACCAAATATACAGTGCATACTTTTTATCCATATTCAGCTTCTTGATTCCTATATGGGGGACATGTGGACAGACATTTTTCAAAAAAATATGTATTGTATATAAAATAATTAGGTATATTGTGTAGCTATGCTGCTTTGGATAGCCTCTTTTGGATAGAGCTGATTTTTCAAATATTTCAAAACTGTTAAAGTATTCATTGCTGTATTATTTGAATCAAAGTCTTTGAAAGTGCGAATATGACATACAGAGTGGGTCACGGTGGATGGCCTATTAGAAGTATCTGGAGAACGAAAAGACAGAACATTCTGAAAATTGGGATGCTTTGATAATTGAACATTCTCTATTCGTCTAAAATGTTTTCATCGATACAGTGTTGCCACTTCTATCAGAAACAACTAGCAACTTTGTTATTTCAAATGGAGCACCCTGTATTTTATTGCATTTTTAGATTTTTCCTAAAGAGCTGATTTTATTAATGCATCACACTTGGGGTCTAGCAGGAATGATAACAGAGATATTGGGTGTCCAAAATCGTGATTTTTCAATTTTGGGATTTTTTCGTGTCGAAACTATTCATTATCGATTAAAATGGTTTGCATGTCCCTATCTCAACTTAAGATTCACTATCTACTGACATTCAATTGAAACAGATACAGGGTGATCAGAATTCTGAATCTTGAAGCACCCTGTATTTTCTCCAATTAAATTCCAGTAGAAAGTGAATTCAAAAGTTAAGATAGGGACATGTAAGCCGTTTCGATCAATAATGAATAGTTTCGACACAAAAAAATCCTAAACTTGAAAAATCTAGATTTTGAATACCCTATATCTCTGTAATCATATCTGCTAGACCCCGAGTGTGATACATTGATGAAATCAGCTCCTCAGGAAGAATCTGAAAATGCAATAAGATGTTATATTTGAAATAACAAAGTTGCTAGTTGTTTCTTATAGAAGTGGCAACAATGTATGGATGAAAACCTTTTAGACGAATAGAGAATGTTCAATAATCAGAGCATCCCAATTTTCAGAATGTTCTGTCTTTTCGTTCTCCAGATACTTCTAATAGGCCATCCACCGTGACCCACCCTGTATATGATGATGTTACCTGGGTAAACATGATAACAAAAAAGTATTGTTGGTTGCATACGAATCTGGCCATGTGGTTTTCAATCATAGTCAAAGACCCTATATATTCGTAAGATACCTTACATAGGAACAAACCAGGATGAAGCTAATAACTTTTTTTTTTCACTCATGTCGAAAAATAGCCCGCTTGTATGTGACTAATATCAGAACCCTAAATCTGTCACAATATGTTGGTCAATATCATTTAGTTTTTGGTCTCAGTATATTTTATGAATCTTATGTGAATAGATTTTAAGAGGGAGAAGAATTATTATTAGTATTTATAAGACCTAATCTCATAAGAAAAGAAGTTGATACATACCGGAAGAAAATCGTCCAGATCTAATCCCACAGGCCTGTCAATAGCAATGGGTATAAAATCTTCATCTTCTTCTTCATGCCGTTCTTCTGGAGATATTCTGGAGTTGACATATATGTCCACTGGAGTAAACGTTGGTTTGATAGAACTTTTTTCAATTATCTTGGCACTATTTGAATTCGTTATTTTCGATACATTAGGTACACTTGAGTTTCGACTAGGCTTTGAAAAGGAATTTTTCCTTGAAGAATTTCTTGAGGAAAGCAAACCTGTAATAATGAATAATTTTATGATCAGGATAAATAAAAACAAAACACCTGAATATCTGGTATTATCTAATAAATATACTATAAGAAAATGAAGAATAGTGAAAACTAAATCTCTGTTGACAGGTAACAAAATGTCACTTTTAATAACACTACTGAAAGGAAAGGATGATATATAATCAGATATTCCAAGATTTAATGTGAGTGTAATTTTTTCAACGGAAACTTGGTGACAACTCAGTGAACTCGTTCCATTATAAAGATTTTTTCTACAAAGCAACTACTGCCGAAAAGAAAAAATGGTGGGGGTGCGGCAGTTTTGACTAGAAATGATTTAATGAATAGTTCAGTGTTTGAATTTGAATAGATATTGTTCGGAACAAGAATTCAAAATCTGTGGTATCAGATGTAGGTCTAATATTAATTTTGTGTTGCTGCAGATCTCCATTTTCAGAAGTAAATGTATTTTTAAAATGGTTGCTATAATAATTCAAACGATGATTTCTAAAAGCTGCGTCATGTTTTCAATTGTTATATATTGTTGGCTGGCCAACCAGAGTAGCACAAGGCATAGCAAATTTCACAATAGCACATGCTGTGTAGTCAGCAATAATATTTCAGATCATAAATCGACATTGTTTTATTATAAAATAGAGGCTCATTCAAAACTGGATGACGAATTTAAACCTTCAATCAGTGAAACCGCAATTTCGTCTTATGTGAGGGCCCTACAGGATCATTTTCTGATGATCATAATATCTATACAAAAATCCAACATGGATTTCTGAATAAAAAATTCACGACTACAGCTATTTATTTATAACTATATTGAAGCAGGCGAGTGCCCTGTTGGGATATTTTGCGATCTCAGCAGGGCCGATCATAATATTAGTCATAGTCATATTTATTAATTCAGTTGATCACAGAGTACATGATATAGGACAGGTCAACATTTTAGAATAGGAGCAAACAGCATATCACTCAACAGATAACATAAATTAGTCCACAGAATATGGACAGTTTTCTGAAATTACATTTTCACCTGTTTCTCAAACAATTTTTCTGTTCCTGACATCCTGAGATCCTCTGGTAGAACATTATACAACCCAAGCCCTACTGTAGCCCTCTTTGTAAGATTTATACGTGCAAATGGAATATGATATTTACTTATATTATGAGTGTGGTAATCATGAACATCTTTATTTTTAATGAATTCATCTTCATGCTTCTGCACATAAACTAGTTATTCAAGAATATATAAACCTTCAAGAGGTAAAATTTTATATTTTCTAAAAGGGGTCTACTCGACTGTGTTCTTTATATTCAACACTGTTTTCAAAGCTTTGATTTGATGGCATTATTTATTCAATAAGCTTGCCAGATCAGATTCTATCAAAGTTGACACCCAGAAATACCGTCTTGTCTCTTCTTTCTATTTCCTCTTCTTGAATTGATACTTCAATATTGAATGAATGAATGAAATAATTCAGTACGTTCCAAAAAACATAAAAATGTCATCTAAATCATTACATTTTTACAAATTACATAATATCGGACATAATAATTATATTATTGATTCAAACCTGTATCAATTTAGTGAATATACCCTAGTTAGTACAATATTAAATCCAACCTCCTAATCTCCTGATGCTAACTGCAAAAATCATAACTTCAGTGGAATGTGAGACTTCAAAAAATCTTCGAATTTGTTTACACCTTCTCTTTTCATATGTAATGGTATTTTGTTGTACTCTGAAATTCCTTTATAAAATATTGAACTGATTCCATATTTCGTCATTACTCTTGGGACTTGAAAATGTCTACAGTTACAGTTACTATTTAAAAAAAGTATAAAAGTATAAAAACTTCCCAGCGATCTAATGTTGTAATCTTCATATAGATTCATAGTTGAATATCTTGATGAAGATGAAGTCTTTATTGAACCACTGAAAATGACATTTTCATAGAGGTCCTTATTCTAAAAAAACATGTCATATAAAAAAAAGAATAATTGAAATTATGGAGTACATTTAGTCAGGTACATTGGTTGCAGTGTGTTATTAAAAATAGCCTAATTATATCACAGAATTTGTCACTACTTATCATTACTTTGCGTTTTTACAAAAATTCTTGAAGATTACAAATGTAGCCAGATCAATCAATTCAAAGCGTCTATTTACTCATAAGGTATTTTTTCAGTTTCTTATTAAATAATTTGCTGTTACATTCCATTCTTTTATTTCAACAGGCAGTTGATTATATATTTGAACACCTTTAAAGCAAATGGAATTTTTATAGGCTTCCATAGACGCATTGGGTAAGAATAACTTCTTGCTATTGCGTGAATTGTATGAATATAAATTATCAAATGTCGTAAATGACAGATTTAAGAATTTTTGACCATTAATGATTTGATGAATGTGATTGGATATTTGGAGTTCATACATATTATCTAAACATAAAATATTGAAGTTTTTAGAAAGATTACCTGTACTATATCTATAGGGCAGTGAGTATATATTTTTGATGGCTTTATTTTGGAGTGTCTTCACTTGTTTCACCAATTTATTACAGGCTGGAAACCAAATCATTACCAGATATTGAAGGTGGCAGTGTATCAGAGAGTAATATTGATGGCAGGTTATACAAGTTTCTAATTGATTTGCTTTGCAGGATTTTAAGTGGTTTTTGATAACTCTCATATGTATTACCCCAAATTAAGATATTGCAAATGTGAATGTATTAGGGAAAAATACACACATCTCAGAATGTAACTTGGGACAGAATAGCTTAATCTTCTCAGAATACCCACTGGCCCAACATTTATTTTTCTTATATGTTCTAGATGTGCTTGCCAGGATAGATTTGTATCAATTATCCACTTTGACAAGTCATTTCATTCGTAACATAATCAGGTACAGTACTTCTGGTTATCCACATAAAAGATGATTTTTTAATATTCACTGTAAGTTTGTGGCAGAGTAGCCATTTTATTAGCTGTGATAAATCTCGTTTGATATTCTCCATAACTGTGCTGACGTTCCCCGAAATATGCAAAAAACAGAAGCATGCTTGTCCTTGTTTGAATAGTTCCGTGGTCACTGTCAGTTATCATTTCTTATTTCATGTCAATTGTACTATGTCATTTTATCAATTTTAATTTTAATGTCTTTTCTTCCCGAAAGTAGAGGGAACAGCACTTCATTATTGGGTCATTTTAATATTTTGGATAAATCCAAAAACATCTCATGAAGTAACCAATGTTCATTAATACATTTACATTGTTTTTAATGCTTATCTTCTGCAAGATTATATGACAAATGAGTTTTTGATTTTTTCAACGATTTGCTTTTAACATTATCAAATTATTTCTAACCTCACATGTTCTTCATATTTTGTACCTGTGAAAGAAAAATATTCACTTTTCAGATACTCTCCTGATGATGGTCTTGTGCCGGAAACGTTCAAGTTGCTATTCAATAAATGAATAAATTGTATACTATAGCCTGAGTCTTACTCATTGATATTGATTATGATTGTTATTATGGTTTCGAAGAATTTTTGTGCATATACAAGTATTTTGCATTATCTTTTTTCAGGATTTTTTAAATTTCCTCTTACCTTTTTCTACGATTCCTATACAAATTTTGTAAATTTGTCTTAAAGGAACATAAATATTATTATTATTATGATAATTATACATATAATTATCTATATTATTATTATATACAGGGTGTTTCTAAAAAAAACCTCACCCCCTTACTAGGGTAGGTAGAACACTGCAAAGTAAGTTGGGTTCACCCAGTGAAAAAAATCCGTAACGGCATCCATTATCAAGACACAAGGTGTTGAGAAAATGATTTTTTTACACATTTTTCAAGATTATGTCGAAACTAATGGCACATTGTAGTGAAATTTCGTATGGATGTTTCTTGGAATCGGACACATCGCATGCATTTGTTTTCATATCTGACTCATAGAGGGCGCTAGTTACACGGTTCGTACCGAATAGTTTTGAACTTTTTTGAGGTTAGACTTTTCAATCCAAATTTGATGTGCACTTGAACATCATTCAATTTCACACCAAAAAAGTACTCTTGGTGATACTCGATACTGTGTTCCGTTTTCGGAATATTTCTATTTGAAAATGATGAAGTGATAACTGTTGCTGGTACCTATAAAGCAATGTATTAGAATGAGTATCATGAAAAATTATTACCTATTTATTGAAAACCGAAAACAACATTACATTTCTGATGCTAAACTTATTGATTTATCAATGAATCACAAGAATAACATCGAAACAGATTTTACTAAGAACATGGATTACACAGTTTTGTTGTACCTTGATTAGGAAGATTAGATTTACATAGGTAAATTCTCGTCAAGAGTTGTGAGACATAATTGAACATCACTAAAATGACCTAACAGCTGATGCTCAACTGTTGAGAAGAATTTTTTTTTTTTTTTCGAAACGTAGGATCTTTTGAACACTTACTCTAACTGATTTAATATTTCATGTGTCAAGTCAAATATCTCTTGATTTTCTACTTATGATTCTTTGTTCCAATAACTTCAGCACAAGAATAATTTCATTGTTTTTGAATCTGAATAAATAGATAATTGAACTCAATAAAATTCATTTCATACCAGCATCTGCTATTACTCCATTATTTTCAAATCAAAATATTCCGAAAAAGGAACATAGTATCGAGTTTAACCAAAAGTACCTTTTTGGTGAAAAATTGAATGATGTTCAAGTTCATATCATATTTGGATCGAAAAATATAACCTCAAGAAAGTTATGTTCTAAACTACTCGGTACAAACCCTGTAACTAGCGCCTTCTTTGAGAGTCAGATATAAAAACAAATTCATGTGATGTATCGAATTTCAAGAAACATTCATACAAAATTTCATTACAATGTTGCCAGTAGTTTCGACATAATCTTGAAAAATGTGTAAAAAATCAATTTTTCAACACCTTGTATGATGAAAACGAATGCTGTTACGACATTTTTCCACTGAAAAAACCCAACTTATTTTGTAGTGTTCTACCCACCCTAGCAAGGGGGTTAGGTTTTTTTGAAACACCCTGTATATTCCACCTAAATGAGTGAACAATGTTTCTTGACTACATTATGTGGAAATGTTACTGATGAAGAATCAGTTTTTTTATTGAAAACATAATTGTTTGGGACTACCTTGTATTAATCTTCAATTAAATCGTGATGCATTTGGCTAATATATAAGTAGTTTCAGTTTGAATTGACATATGAATTTCGTCATTTTATGAATATATGCCATCACTGAATCGTCATTTTTTTCAACATACATATTAAATGATTGTTTATAACAATCAATAGAAACTTCCAATGTCAGTCGTTCAGTCATTCTTGTACATTTGAAAAATCAAAATATCATTATTTTTATCGATTGACATATAGATATGTCATCAATTTGTACAGAAGATGATTCTACAGTTTTTATCTTAAATCTGTTGCAATAAGGAAATCGACATGAAATCCCAAAGAGCAACAAGTTATCAAAGATCTGTTGAATCATTCTCAATTTATTCTCACTCTCTTGTGATAATACAACAAGAAATTACCTTTGTTTATATTAACTTCGGACACACTATGTCTAATATTGCTCGCTTTAGGTGCTTTTTCAGGAACATCTTTACAACTACTCTGCCTCTGTAGTCCAACAAATTTGACAGTTGTTTTCGTTTTGTTCATCTCTGGCAGAATATTTTCTCTATTTTGTTGCCGACTGTTATATACCTGGAATAATAAAAATGAGAACTGAATACAAGTTAATATTGCAGATTGTAATTTCAATGGAACTTATAACCAGTTCTGCTATGTATGTAAATATATGAGTTACATAAAAATATAGGGCAATAGATTCGGCTATCGTACGTCTACGCTAGTCTCTGCTGGAATATCTGAACATGATTGTGATGTATTATAATTAGTTCAATGATATTATTGAGTCAGGAATTATTTTGGTATCATCCTTGGCTTCACTTCTTCCTCTCCATTAAGGCAACTTGTGGGTAGCATGGTCGCGTCATGGACAGGGACATGACAAGAACATTGTCGTATGAAATGTACGAATTCTGTAATGAATAAATGTCATGTGATATAGTCGTACAACCGTTATATTGATTGAGGTATGATGAAGAGGAAAACAAAAAAAATCTTTATTTGTAACTGAAATAGGACTTGAAGGTCACAATAATATCATATATTTCAAAGAAGACATGTCAGTTTTTAATCAAGATTTTTTTAAATCTGCCTAGAAATTTCAAGAAATCAAATAGGTACAAGTTTGCATGGTTTAAGGATGGCAAAATATTTATTTGTGAAGACAATAATACTGAAATAATTCAGATAAAATGTGCTAGTGACATAGAGAAACTGACTTGAAGGCAATATATAATCATACTTAGTTTAGGAAAATTACACTATTTTTATGGAAACATTGCAAATATATTACTTGAATATTCATAGTATAAGCTAGATGAAATCAAAGTGGAATTGCATCTCAAGAAACCACACATTCTCTTATTAACAGAAACATGGCTATACAGTGATGAAATTAAGCTGTTGCAAATCCCAGGATAGCACAATGTGAATTTATGTAGAGATTCTGATAACGGTGAAGGTACTGGCATATTGAAGAACATTTAAAATTTTCCATTAAGTTCATGCAAAGTACGACTTATAATAATCAATTTCAAAGACTTCGATAGGTGTTATGTATAGAAAGCCATCAAATCGCATCAATGATTTTTTGAACCAATTGGAAACAATATAATTTAATATTAAGAATATACTGATAATAAGAAACATCAATATTAACTCACTTTAAAAATGTAATATTGTCAAAGAATATATAAGTAGAGTGGAATCTAGCTGCTACTTCTTGAATGATATTGATATTAATCAGTTTTCCTATGACTACTAATATAAGTGATGAATATTGTACACAAAACAATGTCAGCAAGCTTCTCCTTACACACGTGTGCGTAAAGAGAGCGATCGCACGGTTTTCATGGGTATGTTTATAGATGACTTTGTTTTGTTGCCTAGGCGATGCGTCAATAACATTTAACAATTTCAGTTAATGTCAGTAGCTAGGTGGATAGGTACTTATCTTTTTATCAATCAATCCAGCTATCCACCGAAACCGAATGCAGGTAAGTTATATTTTTTGAAGATATGATTATTTTAATTGATATTTCTCAATTTCAGTTGAAAAAAATCATGTCAAGCGATGACGATGAGCAGATTATTTCTACAACGCCAGAAATGTTGGAAAAAGCTAGAATGGCTCAAAATGAGTTGCTACCCGCTAAGTCTCGTGAACGCGATACGAAGAAGAACATCAAAAATTCATGATGAACTGGAGACTTAGAAATAATACCGTGTCATTTTCGGAAAATATCCTATTAGTATATTTTCAAGAATTATCAAATTCGATGAAACCATCATCACTCTGGTCAATATTATTCCATGTTACGATCAACACTGAATATCAATCACAATATTAATATAGCAACATATCCTAAGTTAATATCTTTCCTCAAAAAGAAATCGGATGGATTCCGAAGTGAAAAATCAAATATACTTAATGCTGAACAGATCAATCATATAATACTGCAGAATGCTCCCGATGATGAATATTTATTCATGAAGGTAATTTTTCAAATAACATCCACACTCAACATTTAATTGATGAATTCCTTTTTTTTAAATAACAAGAATAATTAGAAGTTCAATCTTTCAAGTTCAAAAATGATATTCATAAAATATCTATTGGAATTAGGTTAAACGTTGAAGAAGCGCTGGCTCTGAATCCAAAGTTCGGCAGTTCATAGCGCAGTTGGAGACCTTTGTTTTGATTATTTTTAAGAATGCTTTTAAACAAATATATATAATATAATTTTTTTATTTTAGGTAGCGCTTGGGTATAAGTGGTGCCTGTAGAAAACAGGAAATGCGAAATATCAATCCTGAGCACATAGAAGATACCGGAAAATCTTTAATAATCACCATCCCGGATTCCAAAACGAAAATTCAGCGTTCTTTTGTTTTATCAGAATCCTTCTTCCCAACATGCAAAAAATACATGAACCTCATATTATGCTACAACAACATACGATACTAACACAGGAAAAGAGGTTTCTAATCCTTCATTTACTTTCAACAGTATCACTGTCACAATAAATGAAGTTGTTTCGATATGAAAAACGGCTTCATTTCAGTTCGAATTGAGGAAAATGTCTCGTTATGCAAAGTAACAATAAACAAACAAAATAATTGTGATTTGTAACTTTTCATGCAGCTGGCTTAGTGAAGGGAGACGTATATATATATATATAGGTATTCGTTCCAGTGTTATCAATAAACTGACAATATTTAGTCGATGCTTTAAATTCGTCCCAGAACTACTCAATAATAGAATACAAAAACAACTAGACTACTCTTCCATTTTTTCTCATATGTCATATCTCTCAAGTGAGTGGGGAAATGCTTTGAATGCCAGTGACAGAAAATGTTTGCAGATAGCACAGAATAAGGCAATGAAAGTTTTATATTGCATAAATTCATTGATAGCAACTGATGCAGTATATAAGGAAACCGTGACATCGTGACATATTTTTTTTTATATGCTTATCTATTTCTTGTCATATACTAAGTTCTAGGGCAATCATTCAATTACTTATTCAGTCAATGTTTTACTTTTTAAAACAGTATGATACTCATCAATTGATAATGGGATCCTGTACAAGCTCTCTGTTTTGTGGATCTGATTATGTGAAATAAATAAATGAAAAAAATATTTATATGGGCGGATGACGAATAAAGTGAGTGTCTATAAAAGTTGGTTACTGAACTTTTAAGTAAAGAACAAAACGATAATTGAAACTGAAATTCATTATGCACCTGACAGTCAATCGGTGAGCGTTGAATCATCAAATCATCTGAAAACATCCTGACCGATCCATTTGTTACATAGTCGCTTACCATCAGCAAAGAGTAGGAAAGGCCCAGAGCACGTACACGTGAGGTACACCAATATACAAAGCGTATAGTATAGAAAACTCATCGTTAATTTGTATTTTGGTTCGATTTTGGTTTACAGACTCATTTATTCTTCAAAAATCGACTTCAATTGTTGTTTTTCAAGTGGAACACTACCAATGAATATTTTTCACTAGGCCGATAGAGCTGATTTTTTTCATTGATCAACAACTTTTTATGCTCCACGGAGATATCACATTCAATGACTGCTGTTGTGAACATGCGTGCACGATTGAGAATTCAAAAAGTTCAGCCATCTTTTGTGACAAAGAATAAAAAAATATAATTCGATGTTATCTCGACCAAACATCTATCACGAGTGTATAAATCTTTGTCAGTGGATGAAGTTCTTGCTCAGTTTTTCAGTGGTTCATTAGGTTATGTCGATATTGTATGTTCAATAAATGTATCATACTTTTTTCATGGACTGGCGTTACTGAAATGTGTGCGAATTTAGTGAAAAACAGGAAAGCCGTATATTTTCTGTACGTAAAGAGAATAGGAATAATAATTCCAAATTATTCTCAAGTTAGGACTCTAGTTGAGAATGAATGTAAACACAAATTCATTTATCTAGTTTGTAATTGTTATTCAATAGAACTAAACTTATGATCTGTTCACTTGTATATACAGCTGATTTCGTTACTGAAATAAAAGTTCATGATTTGAACAATCAAAACAAAATTTGCATAGAAATATTATTTTTCAGGAACTGTTGAAAATATTTCTAGGGTGATGATCCAATAGAAAATATTAGTTTGATTTGGAAATGAAAGAAAGTTGTAACATATTTAGTTTTTGTCTGATCAGGCTCTGCAATTTCACCAGAAGAACTTTCCATCTATTCGTCGATACCCTCGAATTCCAGAAAAATCGAATCTTCCAATTTGGCTAATCAAGAGTTCTTAAGATTCAGCCTCTATACTGGATATGCACATAGATAAAATCATACATTACATCAAGAATAAAATATTGCCTCTTGAATTTTAAGTCAGTGAAATCCTTAACGCCCGCTCAGAACAAGAGCGAAGAGTAATAATTGGTGCATCATAAGTTACCACAAGAATGACCATGTAATAATCCTCATCAACCATTATTTATACAGGGCGTCACTGTAAATTGATACTGATATTTTCATTAACAGTCAAGGAGAGAAAATTTCAAACATTTAGAGTAATGAATATTTCTCCTTCTTGATTAACCTACAGGCAGAATGATAGTTATTTATATATCAAGGAAGGAAATGAACCTTTGCTCCCATGATATGTATATGATTTTATCAACGAACGCATTCTTTCAAAGAATCATTCTTGAAATTGTGCTTCAGGCGGTCTATCACTCGATCCAAATCGTTTCAAAGGTATAGGATGCCATGGACAATTGACGGCATTTGAACGGCAGTCAATTTGACACTTATGTCATCATGAATTAATTGATTTGAATATTGTGTAACCCCATTTGGATGTTTTGATTAGAAGTACTTTCGGAATATCAAGAAATGTATGATATCAAAGGAATTCAAAAAGGATATTATTATTATTCGTTTTGATAGTCACTGATTACTTCGATTGCACAGATTTTATAGGTATATTTAAGCCAAAGGATGCATGCTGAAGCTAATTTAGTTTACCTCCCACGGGAGTTGATTATTTTTCCTCCCGTGGGAATAAATTGACAACTTTGTTTCCTAAAATGATGGAACAAACGCCTACTTTCGATTCCGTGAGTAGATAAAGGTGTATTATTCACCTTCTCAACTCCAAAGTAAGAATGACTAATTAGTTGATAAATTAGAAATTAACACAACACAATGAATTCAAATTAGATTCAAATTGAGAATGAGCACATTCGATCTCGGTCAGAAGTACTTTGAAATCGATAATTGAGGTCATCAATATTGTTATCAAAGTGGAAAAATATAAGTAAGAATCAATTTATCCTATATGAAATCATTTTCATATAAAAAGATGCAGACAATATCATAAGGCAATATATTATTCAACTTGTTTTTGTTAGTTCCTCCTTTTTTTGAATATGTTTATACTCAATTTTTCAATCTAAAGGTGTTCATTCAATTCGGAATTATCCAATAATTCTAATGCGAAATAGATTAATCTCAGAAGGTATTTGTCAATTCAAAGCTGAAAAAAAAGAGAAAATTGTCTATCCACTTTACCTGATCCAAATTAGATTTTGACCTCTCATAATGGCTGGTAGTGAGTCGTGGAGGTGAATTCTTGTAATTGTTGATATTATTGTCAAGAGAGAGAGCTTCAAAACTGTCACTAATCAGATTTCCAAGGACTTGAGGTTCTGAGGGATCTGAAATAATATACGTTTGTAAAGTATAAATGTCCAAATCTTCGAAACTGAAAATTATTAGTACAATATTTCTACATCAGCTTTCTCTATGACGCTGTTCAACTAATATCTAGGTATTGAATCGGTAAGAAGGAAGTAATGCCATCTCGACCACTTTGTGTGGAATTCATTGTCTTTCCTTCAACTGAATAAGAAAGTATGCTGAATTTAATAGCCGCGGCACAGCTGTGGCTATCAAAACTAGCCCAGGGTGTTTACCAATTCACAACACTGCCTGGTTCAACACATGACCCTGGCCACTCCTATTGAGTATTTCCCAAAAAATATTTATTGTCATGATATGACTCAAATCGACGTTATAGGTCCTATAACAATGTGCTCTACGCTTGGAAATAAAGGAAACACATCCTTGAAGGAATAGATTAGCACGCCAGTGAACGCAGTGGGATAACGCGGATTAAGGTTATATTTTGGAAATTAACTCCCATGTAGAAAAATACATTTCTTCGAGTCTTGAGTCCTGACAGGATTCAAGATTTTCCGTTTTTCGTTCACAGTCAATCTGATAAAATAGACATGTCAGCTTGAGCAGAGTTGGAGGAGTGATTTTTCATAAATCTAATCATTTAATATAACCTTTTGATGTATCCAAGCTTCTTTTCAAGATTTCCCTTCATCAAACAATCTGAAAGAATGAACAGATCTAGATATAGGGATAGGGTTCAACCAAACTGATCAACAGGATCACATATCTAATTTCTATTCGGTTTCCACAGTTGGCTAGCACAATATTTCAGTTACTCGTCAGAGCAATATGAGACTACAAATATTCCAGATTAACGATCTACGGGGTGGCAACTGCAGCGGCGTCGTTACATTCCCGTATATATATATTATAATTTTTGTTTGTTTGATTTTACAAAAAATCACCAAAATGCATCATCAAGGTAACCAACTTCCTAGAAGTCGAAATTTGTGCTGGGTTAGGAAGAGCGGGACCTACAGCTTAAAGTTGAATCCGAACCACTTCTAGGGCATCCAGAACAATCCACACAATGTGAATTTTTCAAAAAACATTACGAACATTCAATTTTATTCAATAATTCGTTGATAAAATGCATCATTTTGAAGAAAAAGATATATCTCCGACAACATAAAGGGTCTGATTGAAAAAAATTCGAAATTGTTTCGGGAGAAGACATCAAGCTTCATGATAATGGTCGAAAAAAATATAAAAAATATTTGCTCAAACAGGAACGTAACTTACTTTACTACTTCAATTATCGTTGTTGTTATTGTTGTTGTTGTGTTTGTAGTTTAATATTGCTCTGACAAGTAACCGAAAGATTGAGCTAACCAACTGTGAAAACCAAATAGAAATTAGTTATGGAATACAAGATTAATTCGATTTTGATTTATTTTGTTGATCAGTTAATCAGGTATTTTTTTACTGGAAACCAAGGTTACCTTTCTGATTCCGGCATACATATAAACTAAAGTGCTCAAAGAAACAAGTGGACCACTGAAATTTTCTACAATTCTCAAACTGCCATAACTTTTTGAAAAATTAATAGATTTTCAATCGGAATGCAGTGTTTAGAAGATGCGATCTTTCTGTTCAAGATTCCTTGTTCAAACCTCGTCGGGAGTGTTTCTGTCATTATACACCAAGTGTTCGAAAAAAGTATTACAAAAATGGGAGAATTCAAACGCTCCCGTATTTCAGAGATTTTATTTTTATTTTTCTATTAATCATTTTTTTCAAACGTTCAAGCCAATATCTCGAAACGGTTTTGTAATTTTCCATATTCCTCATACAGGATGTTAAAAATCGATAATTTTTAAATTTTAGGTTTTCATCACATCATTTCTGATTTTAAAATTATGCAAGCCACATTCAACGAATTTTGTCACTCTATACGATAGAACATATCCTAGAAAATGGATTCATATTGCGTTGAAATCATCGACAACTTTAACAGAAGAAGAATTAATGTTTTTGGAGAAATGTTCAGAATTAGGTGAAATCGTCTGTTCAGTTTGGTGCTGCCATAACCATATGCTATGCTAAACACAAATCCTTCATTTGGATCGATTGCTCTGCTCAGTATCGCGAATTGATTTCGTGAATTTTCAGATAAGGCAATCCAAGGGGGCGCAAAGAAGCCCTTCTGGATTTTTCCGAACAATTCATACAATAACGATGCTTGTAAGATATTCCTGAGCTGACATGGAGTCAAGAAACCTATTTATCACAAGGTTTATCATCGCATAATCGAAAATCAATCGAAAAAGTCGATTCCTTGTAATCAACAGTCAATTACGCAATTAATACCACTGCAACACCCAATATAATGACTCCTGTCAAACCGATGATGACAGTTATCGAAGGTGACGATTCCACCTGATTCTGAACATTTCTCCAAAAACATTAATTCTTCTTCTGTTAAAGTTGTCGATGATTTCAACGCGATATGAATCCATTTTCTATGATGTGTTCCATCGTATAGAGTGGCGAAATACGTTGAATGTGGCTTGCATAATTTTACAATCGGAAATGATGCGAGAAAAACCTAAAAATGAAAAATCATCGATTTTCAACATCCTGTATGAGGAATATGGAAAATTACAAAACCGTTTCGATATTGGCTTGAACGTTCGGAAAAAACGTTTAATAGGAAAATAAAAAGAATTCCCTGGAATACGGAAGCGTTTGAAATTTTTCATTTGTGTAATACTTTTTTCGAACACTTGGTGTATAATGACAGAAAAACTCACGACGAGTTCGGAATCTTGAACAAAAAGATTGCATCTTCCAAGCACTGCATTCCGATTGAAAATCCATTTATTTTATAAAAAGATATGGCGGTTTGAAAATTGTTGAATATTTCAGTTGTCTACTTGTTTCTTTGAGCACTTTATATATTGACTATAACCGATAGTAGTAGTAGTTATACCGGCGGAACTGCAATATTGACTGAAAAAAGGTTAACGATAATTGAAGAGTTCAAGGTGTGCATTGATGAAGTGTTTTGGTTAACGGGAGTGTCGGTGTTAATACCAAAAAAATAGTTTATTTTTGTATCTAGAGCGCGAAATGCTACTTTAGTAAACGAGATCTGATTTTTTTTTAAGAGGCGTAGACGAGTTAAAAAAATATTCGAGATGACCGTATTTCGCGCTCGAGTTGCAAACAACATTTTTTCTACAAACGTCAAAAAATATAGTTCTAAAGTAAAAATATGCTTAGCTTAATATAAAAAAATAGTGTTGAACTGGCTTAAAAGGCCTCCCCCTATCCTCCCTAGGTACGCACGATGTTCCACGAACATAATAGGAAGTTCCTTTCGAGCGCTCCAAGAGATAAAACGAAGTTATTGTTGAATATTCAGAAATAAATGATTTCGTGGATGTTTGCTCGATTGAGGACCATAAAGTTGAAATATAAATATCTCATATATTTTACATAAAATGCGCGAAGTAGGTACTTCGCTCATATTTCATTGTATTTCATGTAAATTTCATTATATCAATGTTCTTTATATCTCTTATTATGTATCTTCGTTTGTACTATTTTGTCATCTTTATTTTTATTTTGATTACTATTATTTACTTTCAGATTTTAATGATGTTATTTATATTCAGATTTGAATTTTATTAATACTCCTGGCACTGTGTGAAACTCTAAATTATCGTTATATATTATATTTGTTGTAAGATTAGGATATATCCTATAATGAAGATTACTACTACTTTTACTTCGCGCATTGTTTTGTGCAAGGTATCATGGTAACGTAGGAAACTGAAAAAATGTGTCACTTCGCAATTTGTTATCAATGCGCGAACCTTGTCATTTTTTGACGTTTGTAGAAAAAAGAAATATAGCAGTGAAAACAAGCAGATAAGAGAACAAGAACCATTCAGAGACACAGATTTACTCAAATAAGAACAATCCTACTAGAATGTGGAAAACATTGAAAATATTAGTACCTACCGGATAATAACAAAGAATACAATCTTACAACTATTGATTTGGGAAATGGTGAAATAATTTGGGATTTTTCTCGAATTGTTTTTATCCGTTTGAAAAGTAGTAGAAATCCTGAGTGATAGCTTAAATTTATGTCTATGTAATTATTTATCTACTATTTTGATATCATAACCATTGACGCCAGCCATTTTATAAACAACACTCCTTTCCAAATCGAATCTTTGTTTGCTCAGAGGAAATGAAACTAGTTTATGTACAAGGAAGTTTAAACTTGCCATTTTGTGTTGAAAACAGTGATTGGAGTTATTAGTTATGTATTCACGGTTGGGTGGACATATACTTAGCGTATAAGTAGCCCACTAGGATAGAGCATTTAATTTTAATCTTCTCCTGAAGATGCTAACACAGTTAGCGAAACACGTGTCGAGGTGTAGAAGATCGGTTTGGTTAGTGGTTAAACAGTTTGTAGCCAAAGGTTCCAGTCTTCGATATTGTCGACTCTGACTTGATAATTTATTATTATTACTATCATTATTTCGTATGCCCTGATCTACATTCTCCACATACGTCTATTTACCTTCCATTTCACTATCGATTTATATCAGCAATACCTAAAGTTTAACATTTCCAAATAACCAACAATATTCCACTAATTAATAAGTTCATTAACTTTGGGCTACTTTGGCGAAGAACTAAACAGTCATCAGTTGACTCACAAAAAAACTGATTGAGGAAAGGAAGGACGGCATTATCAATCGGTCTGCGATAGAGTAAGGGTAGTCTCGAAGATCGAGGCTCGACGAACCCCTTAGAGAAATATACGGGTGTACGAGTAGTGGCTGAGAGAGATTTGTCCAGTTGGGTCGACGATTTGAATATCTATGTAAGTACCCACAGTTGTTTTGAATAAAGCTTGTTATTCTTGTACTCTGACCTGTGTTCTCATCGACTGATTTCCTGGAGTGGTTCTGTTTTATATCCGATTCAATTATAGACTGTTGGTCCGTGA